ACAGCCAGACCTGAGGCAGCAGATGTGCTGGCCCAAAAGCCTGAGAGAGCTCCTGGTTTCTAGGGACAAAGTGGATTTAAGGCATTGCTGGAGCCTGTGGCCCCCTGTGCAGTATCCTGTGCTGTCATTCCTGTCCCCCAGCCTTGGACCTCTCAAGGCTGAACAGAATGGGTCTGGCCTTGGAGCACAGCTGTATGTGGCTGACAGAGCCTAAGGACACTTTTGAGGCCAGATCTGATGGAGCTGTAAGTGCCTGAGGCCGAATTAGCCATGGAGGGCAGCTCCCTGCTTAGCCTGGGGGTTTGCTGGACTGTTCGTGCACAACTCGGGGCAGGGAGCCCCTTGGGGGACACAGGGTGTATTTTTTGCTGCAAAACTATCAGGCAGCATCTGTGAAACACAAAATGGCCTACTGGGAGATGGAGGTGATTCAGTGTGGAGCTGCTGCCAGTTTTGCAGCCGGCACAAAACCTCTTAACAGCACGAGGAGGATGGATTTTTATTTTTTCTTTTTCTCCCACTTCTCCAGAGGAATCCAACAAGAAGCATCCCTTCCCCTGCCCCACATCATACAGGACAGCCCTGACCTACTACCTGGACATCACCAACCCTCCCCGCACCAACGTGCTCTACGAGCTGGCCCAGTACGCGACGGACAGCGGCGAGCAGGAGCGCCTGCGCAAAATGGCCTCGTCTGCTGCTGAGGGCAAGGTGGGAGCACTGCCCTGCCCACCTGGGCTGGGGGGGTCCCCAAAAGGCAGCCAGAGAGCCCACAGGGTGTGGAGGCCCTGGGGGGCATCTCCTAAGTTACACCCCATTGGCTGCTTCCCCTGTTCCTGTGTCCCTATGTTCATGAGCCACTCCTTCACATTTCCCTGCTTGGCCCTTATCTTTGTACTGCCCCCCAGATCAGGGGAAGCCTCCAGGCCCCTGGAGAGAAAGCTGAGCTCTCCAGGTGTGTGTGCTGGAGACCTGAATGTTGTCATCTTATTGCAAAAGTTCCATATGTTCTTGGTGATTTCTCATGGGCAGCTCCTCACAGCACTGACTCCTTCTTCACAGTACAGCCAACAAACTCCAGCTCCCTTTTCCACCATCTAACCCACTCTTTTGTGGTGCACTTGTCTTCTTATTGGACACGGCTGTAGCCTATTAAGGGCAGGCCTGTTCCTAATCTTTGGTGATTAGTACAGCTGCACTCCTCAGGTGTGAGATTGTGTTCTGCACTATTCTCTTACATTCTGTCCCTCCACACCTGAACATCTCATGGTGCAGCTGAATTAAACATCTTTGGATATTATGCAAAGGCCCTTTTTGCTTCTGTACCCTGGACTTTACTAGCAGCAATTCAGGCTCAAGGGGGGTGTTTGCCAGCCGTGTGGGGAGGTTGTGATGCCTGTGCTCTCCTTGCCTGCAGGCGCTGTACCTCAGCTGGGTGGTGGAGGCCCGCAGGAACATCCTGGCCATCCTGCAGGACATGCCCTCCCTGCGCCCCCCCATCGACCACCTGTGCGAGCTCCTGCCCCGCCTGCAGGCCCGCTACTACTCCATCGCCTCCTCCTCCAAGGTGGGTGTGCTTCCAGCAGGGAATGTGCCTGTGGAGGGACCTCTTCAGCTGCAGCTTCCCTCAGCTGGGAGCTTCTCCTGGTGACATTTACTATGAGAAGGGCAGATTTAGTGATCTTCATGCATGGAGTTATCCCAGCTTCCCAGAGGGCCTGTGCAAAGTCCCATGCTGCAGCCAGCTGTGCCCTGATACCACCAGACTCTCTGGAGCCCTGCTCCTCTTTGCCCATTTGCTTGGCAAGGTGGCATTTTAGGGGCTGGTCAAAAGTCCCTCTTGGCAACCTCCAGGGAAGCTCAGTGGTCCTGTGATGAGTTGAGGACAAGAGAGAAGCCCCACGAGGAGCACACAGGGAGGAGTAGCTGTCCCAATGTTAACATGAAGTTCAACTTATCCCACATTCCTGAGCACAGTGTGGGGTTGCTGGGCTCCTTCTCTGCCTGGTTCCAGCATCTTTTCCCTGCAGGTCTGTTGTCATCTTATTGCAGAGGTTCCATGCTGTTGTCTCCTTATCACAGAAGTTTCACACCTTCTTGGTGTTTCCCGTGGGCAGTTCCTCAGAGCACTGGCTCTTTATTCTTCACAAAGCAGCCAAATGACTCCAGTTCCCTTCCCAACCAGCCACCCCACTCTTTTATAGCATCTTCGTCTCATTGGTCACAGCTGTGGTCTGTTCAAGTCAGGCCTGCTCCTAATCTTTGCTAACTGACCCAGCTGCAACTCCTTAGGGGTAAGATTACTTTCTACACCATCTTTATTTCCTTATATTCTATCCCCCTACCCAGGTCCATCCCAACTCCATCCACATCTGTGCTGTGACAGTGGAGTACGAGACCAAGACGGGCCGCCTGAACAAAGGGGTGGCCACCAGCTGGCTCAGGAGCAAGGTGCCTGTCCAGCAGGGGAGCAGCTCCCAGGTGCCTGGCCAGCAGGAGAGCAGCTCCCAGGTGCCTGGCCAGCAGGAGAGCAGCTCCCAGGTGCCTGTCCAGCAGGGGAGCAGCTCCCTGGTGCCCATGTACGTGCGCAAGTCGCAGTTCCGGCTGCCCTTCAAGCCCAGCACACCTGTAATCATGATCGGGCCAGGCACCGGCATCGCCCCCTTCATGGGCTTCATCCAGGAGAGGGCCTGGCTCAAGCAGCAGGGTGAGTGAGTGAGTGCCCAGGGGCTGGAGCTGCTGCAGGGCTCTCTGGGGGCAGTTTGGTGCCTCCAGGGTGCAGCTTTGCTGGTCCTGTTGCGGGTTGGCCCAGCCAAAAGCAGAGTGCTGGGGCACGGTGAACAGGGCTGAGTGGTTTTGTCCACACTAGGGTGTTCTGTCCTGCTCTTGGCCACAGAGGATGTTTGGGGGTGGACAGAGCTGGGCCACTTCTCTGATCTCTGCCACTATTGTAAATCAAAGGTGACTCCCATGAAGGGGAGAGGGAATGATGTATCTGACTCCATCATCAGAAGGCTAATGAATTACTTTATTATACTATACTATATACATTTCATCTCAATTGAATCTGCCCTGTACTCTTCCCCACAACTGCACAGACCTGCACTCATCTCTGGTTCTCTCCTGACAGTCCAACACACACACACTTCTTGGCCCTGATAGGCCAAAACATCCTCACTTTGGGTAAACAATCTCCATATTGCATTCTACTTTAGCACAACACAGGCACAGCAAGCAAGATAAGAATTGTGTTTTCTGACTTCTCTGCTTGTCTCACAGCTTCTCTCTGTTCAGAGGGCATGTGAATACCACATGCCACCACCACACCTCCAAATAACCGCAGTCAGGTCACTCAGACTGGAATCCAAAGCCTGTTGCCACTCCTGGGAATCAGTCCTGAGCTTCCCCTTGTAACCAGAAACCATCGTGCAGCTCTGCGAGCCCAGGGTGGGGGAGAGCACAGGGCCGGGGGTGTCAGGACAAGGGGAGGTTGGGAAGGGGCAGGGCTGGGGCTGGCAGGGCCCAGCTGATGGGGGCTGTGTGCCCCACCCTGCAGGCAAGGAGGTTGGTGAGACAGTGCTTTACTATGGCTGCCGCCACGAGCGCGAGGACTACCTGTACCGGGAGGAGCTGGCCCGCTTCCAGAAGGAGGGAGTGCTCACCCAGCTCAACGTGGCCTTCTCCAGGGACCAGGCTGAGAAGGTACCACACTGTTCCTCCTGCCACTTGTTCCTGCTGCCCACCATCGCTCCCACGGCAGGCAGGAGCACCCAGCACTTGCTCTGTCTCCCAGAGGCATGAGCACAGACTTCCCTTTCTAAGCCTCCCTCTCAAAGGTGAGGGGGAGCTCTGCTCCTCTCCCCTCACTCCCCCACCTTGTCTCCTGCCAGGTTTATGTCCAGCACTTACTGAAGAAGAACAAGGAGAACGTCTGGAAGCTGGTTAATGAGGGCATGGCTCACATCTATGTGTGCGGGTAGGTTGGGGACAGGATGGGGATTTGGGGGCAATTCTCAGGAAAAGGAGTGTGACTCAGTTTCCCCAGCCGTGCATTACAAGCCCTGGGAGGGTTCTGCTGTCCTGGTTCAGAGGAGGGCAGGGGGCTGGGGTGAGCACACCCTCCAGAGTGGGAGGTGGCTGTGTGGCCGTGCTCTGGTGTCTCACTCACTCCGTGTTTGCAGCGATGCCCGGAACATGGCCCGGGACGTGCAGAACACCTTCTACGAGATCGTGTCCGAGTTTGGCAGCATGAGCCAGCCCCAGGCCGTGGACTATGTAAAGAAACTGATGACAAAGGGCCGCTACTCCCTGGATGTGTGGAGCTAAGAGCGGGGCTGCCGGGGCCGGGGAGAGAACAGGTCCCCAGGCATGGGCCAGGGGAGATGGCAAGTGCCTGCTCACCCACTGCTGCTGTGGGTGACGGTGTGCCCACGGCTACCCCAGTGTCACTCCCAACCCTTCCTGGGCCTCTGCATTCCCTCAGGGCAGGCTGGGCACTCAGGGGGTGGAAAGGGTTGAGAGGGGCAGGGGGGTAGCTCAGGCTGCTGCCCAGGAGCTGCGGTGTCACCAGCACCTCAGGGTGCACCAGCGTTGGCCTTGAGGCCAGGGACAGCAGGGACACGGCCACGAGGGACAGACACGGCCAGGGAGTCCTTCCCTGGACACGAGGTGTTGCCTTATCCCCGGGGCTGGAGCCCAGCCTGGCCTGCAGGGACAGCAGAGGGGTGGAGGGGCTGTGCTGGGGCTGGGGTCACAGCTTTGCCTCTCTCCTGCCACCCCTGGGATGTGGGGCTGGCAGCTGCCTCTGGGCACAGAGCTGTCCCATGGCCCCAGCAGCATGTCCTGCTCCATTCCTGCTGCCTGCCCTGGCTCCAGCAGCAGCGGGAAGCTCCTCTGCCTGTGGAATACAGCCGGATTGGGAGGCGGGGTCTCAGCCCTTGGGGGCCCTGCCTGCTCCCCTGAGCCCAGCCCCTCCCTCACACCATGTACGGTCATTTTTTAAATACGGTTTTTATTTTGAACATCTTTGTGATTTTAGCATGGAAAAAAACAAACAAACAAAAAAAAAAACCAAAACAAAAAACAACAACGGAAACCCCAGACTTCCAGGCTGTCCAGTGATTGTAAATTATTTAAATACATTTACCCTTGGAATAAAAACCCTGTGTCTGGAGTTTGCTTCCTGCATCTCTCTGCTCAGCCAGAGGGAAGAAGGAGGCAGGAGGAGCAATGGATGATAACCAGGAGGAAATCTGGGGATGTGGTGGCAGCTCTGGGTTTGGTCTGAGCTGGGGCAGCCCCTACCCTGAGTGCTGGGCTGTGGAAGGGGGAGGGAGGAGGGCAGTGGGGGGCTCTGGACTGGGGTGCAGCTGTGCCCAACCTGCTCTTTGGTTATTCCAGAGCTCCCAGTGCTGGTACAGCTGGTACAGGGTGTCTCTTCCCCACCTCCAGGGACACTGAGGTTCTGCTGGGCTCCTTGGGATGCCATGGGAAGGAGAACCCCCTGCAGCTCAGGCTGGTGGAAGGGCACAGGGAGATGACTTTCCATAAAATCATGGGCTCATTTAGGCTGGAAAGCCCCTCCAAATCATTGAGTCCAACCCTTAACCCAGCAATACCAAACCCACCACTCAACCGTGTCCCCAACTGCCACATCTACATGGCTTTTAAATCCCTGCAGGGATGGTGACTCCACCACTGCTCTGGGCAGCCTCTCTCAGGGCTGGACAACCCTTTTTTGTGAAGACATTTTCCTTAATATCTGACCTAAACCTCCCCTGGTGGAACCTGAGGCTGTTTCCTCTTGTCCTGTTGTGACAATTGTCCTATTGCCCCCCACCTCCACCCTCCTTTCAGGGAGGTTGTGTCAGGACCCCCTTCCTGATGAACCAAAGCCACAGAGCAGAGTGTGGGAGCAGTTCCCAGACTGAGCCAGGGCAGCTCCTTCCCTTTATTTTCACATCTGCAGCCTCAGGAGCTACCAGCCCAGGCTGCTGCTTGCACAGCCCCAGCTCCTGCTGCTCCCACCCCTCCCGTGCCCCAGCCACCCCTTCCCTGTGGATTGAAGGTGAGGGAGGAGCTGGGGCAGCCCTGCAATCAGAGCTGTGCACAGCCCCAGCTGCCCTTGGAGGGTCCCTGCCCTCAGCACACAGGGGCTGCCCTGGGTGCAGGGCTGGGGGGAAAAGGGGGAGCCTCCAGCACCCCAGGAGCTGTGGGAGGCAGTCCCTGGACACTGCCCTGTCCCAGTGGGGAGCAGCAGCAGCCAGAGGCCATCCCAGTGCCAGGGAGGGCAGTGGCTGTCCCAGGCATCCTGCTGTCTGGATGGGGAAGGCAGCCAGGACAGGAGGTGCAGGGTGCTCCAGGCTGCAGGTGAGGGACTCCAGCACGGATCCAGCCCCGTGCTGAGCACAGGGACTGTCCAGGAGCAGGCCCCAAGCTCTGTCCCACACCCAGGCCTCCAAGGGATGGGATGAGACCCCAGAGTCCGGACGGAATCAAGGAGATGGGGACAGGGGATGGAGCCAGTGGGAAGAAACAGTCCAGGCCCCCACAGGGCCCCTCTTCAATTCTCCTTCGTGTCCTGGTTCTTGTTCTGGATCTTCTGGTGGACGACGCGGAGGGTGGTGAAGAAGTTGCCCAGGAAGAGGATGGAGAAGGGGAGGCCACACATGAGGACCTGTGGGAGGAGAGGCTGGGGTCAGCAGGAGGGACCTGCTGGGGCTGCCCCTGCCAGGGCCCTCCCAGGAGCCTCCTTACCTGCCACTCCTTGCACTCGGGGTGCTGCAGCATGCGGAACAGCGTGATGGCGTTGTAGAGCTGCCAGAACTGCAGGGCAGAGGAGAGTCAGGGCAGCTGCTGCTGCTGCTTCCAGAGGCTCAGCCCCAGGCTGGTGCCTGTCCAGCTGCTCCCTCTGGGTATAAACCCCACACCCACCTCGTGTGGGGGCACTGAGACCCCATCCAGGCTCAGGGACAGAGGGCTCCTTCCCAGAGGACCCCAGCTGGGACATCCCCCCTGTTTCAGGCCAGCTGGAGCCCAAGGGCCTCAGGGAGCCTCAGAGCAGCCTTTGGCCATCAGCCTCAACAATGTGACCGAGGAAGGACTTGATTGATCCTTTCAGCAGCAGCTCAAAGCTCAGAAGGGCTTTGGAAAGGCTTTGGAAGGGTTCTTACCACAGCACCCAGCAGAACCACCCCAGCTCCTCCCCACCTCACTTCCCCAGTTGTGGTGGCTGCTTTAGAGGGAAAGGCTTGGCATTTGTTGGAAGCATTTCCCTGCTGTGGCAGCCTGTGGGGTCTGTGCCACGTCCAGAGCACCGAGCACAGCTGGGAATGTGGCACATCCCATTCCCACCCCAGGCTCTGACATCCTGCAAGGACTGGTGCAGCCTCACCTGCCCAAAGAAGAGGAAGGGAAGCAGGAACGTGAGGCCTCTCCACATCCAGGACTGGAAGCCCTCTGCAAAGGATGAAGGTTTCTGTGAGGAGCTGGGTTTCTGTGAGGTTCTGTGCCTGGCTGAGGAGGTCCTGCCATTCCAGCCTCACTGTGGCCACTTGCAGGGGACAGTGGCAGGGACCCCTAATCCAGCACAGGGCTCTGGGCTGCAGTGCAGCTGGCCCTCAGCTCCTGCCCTCAGTGTCACAGGGGCTGGGGAGGTGACAGCCCACAGTGCCTGGGGTTTGGAGGGGTGTGCCATGTCTGAAGGAGCTTCCTGGGCAAACCTGGGATGCCCAGAGCCACATCCACTGCCACCTCACAACCTGAGGCAGCCAGCTGTGGGCTGGTGGTCCCAGCAGAGCAGGAGGAGGGGGACAATCAGCCTATGGGGTGGTGCTGCCCCATAGGAGAAGCTGCTCTGGGAGCTTTGGTTTGACTTGTAGCTTTTACTGTTCCTGCCACTGATAAAAATGACCTCAAATCCAAGTGTCACCATTTCCTTCAGTAGAACCCACAGCTCCCAGTGAGCTGAGCAGCAGCAAGGGGCCATCCCACTCACCCACAGTCAGGTCCATGTTGTGCCTCTCTCCCAGCGCTCGCAGCCGGTACAAGCACCCACTCTGGTAGTAATACTGCAGGAACTGCACAAAGCCTGCAAGGAGAGCATGGCTGCTGTCAGGAGCTGCCCAGGGATCACCTTCCAGCCTCAGCATCAGCCCACGAGGCCAAGGGAGCTGCCAGGTGAGCTGGGAGCTGAGCAGCTGCAGCCAGGTTTCCATGTGTAGAGCTCTGCAGGCACTCCCAGCACCTGGGGTCAGTCCCTGGCCCAGCACACGTGGCAGCACTTACTCTGGTACATGGAGAAGGACAGAAACTGGTTCCTGAACATCTGGTACATGAGCCCATCTGGCCTGTGGAGAGACAGTGCTGGCTGGGGGACGTGGGGCTGGGAGGGGGCAGGAGGCAGCCCCTCCATGGGACAAGGGACACAGACTTACCACGTCAGCATGACACCTGAGAGGAAGGTGGAGATGTAGTGATGGAAAACCCACCAGCCTTTGATCCTGGAGGGCAGACACAGAGAAGCAGCGTCACATCTGGAGCATGAACCCAAGCCAAAGGCAGCCTGGAGAGTGCAGCAGCCCAGCCCCAGCCACCCCAAGCTCCCAGGCCTGGTTGGGAAATGGCTCAGAGCAGGACCCAGGGCCTCGGGGCTGGGCAGCACCAGGGCCCTGCCAGCTCCACCTGCCCGCGCCGCCCCCGTGGGAACGGGAGGCTCCTCCTGCCCCCTCCTGCAGCTCCCAGCAGGGTTTGCCACACACCCTGAGTGGGAGGGAGCTGCTCTCCTGTGACAGGCCCAGCTCCCCCAGCCCTGCAGGGAAGGCCCAGCCCCTCCCCGGGCCACTCACTTGGAGCCGTTGTTGATGAGGATGCTCTCGCGGATGGTGAGGGTGCAGTAGTACCACACCAGGAGGAAGTTGAAGACGGCGTCTGTCACCCTGTGTCACACAGAGCAGGCTGTCAAGGCACGTGCTGGGGCCACAGGCACGGTGACAGCCCATGGGACACCCATCCCCAAGGGAAGGGACCTGCTCCCCACCACTGACCATGGCCACAAAGGCCACCCCACCTTCAGATGCTTTAGCAGCATCTCCTGTTCAGCTCTGGATATTCCAGGATGGGAGAGAAGGCAGGGGGGCTCTGGGAGGAGATCTCTGCCCAGCACCAAGCCAGACTCACCTGGAGTTGAGGAGGAACCGACAGGAGAAGGAGACAATGAGTAGGATGATGGTGAGGTAGAGCTTGAACTTCTCGTACTCATCTTTATAGGCAAACCTGCAGGGAAGCACAAGGACAGGCTTGGAGCAAGGGGGCTGCTGGAAATCTGTGTCCTCCCATCCTATCTGGCTGGGCAAAGTGATGTTTCTGGGAGACACTCAGGGAGAACCTTGCCTTGGGGGATTTCTGAGAGCAGAGCACACCAGGCTGCTCCCACACAGCTGGGACATGTCTGAGCAGCCCAAACCACCCCAGCCTGGGGGTGGCCCTGGAGGGGGAGCTGGGCAGACTGGGATGTGCACACATCTCCACTGGGAGGACTGGGGAGCAGAGGGAGAGGAGAGTGGCTCCTGGCTGGGCATCTCTGGCAAAGGAAAGGCTCTAAGGGGCCAAAACCAGCTTCTGGTGTTTCCCCAAAGAAAAGAGGAGGGGACTGTCCACTGTCTGTCTTTCCTGGAAGTTCCTGACACAGTGGAAACACGGACATGGCTTCAGTGGAGGATCCCATTAACTTGTCAGAGCTAATGGTCCAGCCGAGCCCAGCGGCAGGAATGTGAGGGGGAGCCAAGGATTTGGCTGATTCCTGGGAAATGATGCAGAAAACAGCTCAGGAAGGGAATCTACACCAGGTGAGCCAAGCCAGCCCGTGTCTGCCTGGGAGGAGCTGTTGTTCCTGGTGCCAAGGGGATCCCAAGGCAGGAAAATCAGAGGAGCAGCGAGGAGGGGCCGTACTTGGCCTGTTTGCTGAGCAGGGTCACGTTCACATTGCCAAGCACCAGACTCAGGTACAACCTGGGGAGAGAGCAGAGCGTTAGGATGAGGACCTGCCTGTGCAGCTGTCCCCTCTTGTGCCACCAGTGAGACCAGGGACGAGTCACAACTCTCTGGAATCCCCTCCCACGGGTGGGGGAGCACACACCCCACCTCCCACAGGCACTGGGGTGTTCACCAGGGCTTCTCCTCGGGCACAGCCACTGGGCAAGGGTGGGTGATGGCCATGAGCAGGCAGAGGAGTGAGGGAAGCACTGCTGGCTCCTGCCCAGGTGTCCTTGGGGAGCCCAAGGGGAGCAGCACAGCTGTGACACTGCTGGGTGCAGGGTGGCAGCTCTGGGGGCTGTTCCTTACAGCAGCCACAGGGATGGGGAGGGTGGCCCTGGTGGCCCAGCCAGAGCTGAGGTGCCTTCTCACCCGTTCTTCTTTGGCAGATAGGCCTCCATCTCAAAGAACACGTTCTGCCTCTCTTTAATCAGGCTCTGGGTCTCTTGGATGGATGCTTCCTGCTCGGGAGTCACCTGGGCTCTGCATCTGGGGAGCAAACACAGGCACTGGCACCAGGAGAGCCTCTGGAACGTGAGCAGCACGTGCTGGCACTCCACAAGTGACTGGCTGGGGCAAGGACACCCCAAGGACAGGGAAGGTGCATGGGAGGCAAGTCCACAACTCCATCTGCAGGACGAGCTCCTCTGTCAGGCCGTGGTGTTGCTCAAGAGAAGGGAGCAGGGTGAGGCCAGATGGGTCTCACCCTCAGCAAGGATGGGGAGAGCTTTGTGCAGGAGGAGGGCAGTTCATGGTACCTGCAAAACTCTTGCCAGCTCTGAACTGCAAACAGGGCACAGGAAAGGGGGGCTGGGGAAGAACAACTTCCCCACAGCCCCTGGCTGCAGAGAGGTTTGCATCTGAGGCATGAGGGGAGCTCAGTCCTAGCTGCTGTCCCCTCCTGTGCTGTCACAGAGCACTGACTCACTTTTTGAGGGACAGGGACAGCTCCTTCAGCCGCTTCTTCTGCCGGGCAATGGAGCTGGAGATCCCATCCTGCAGCTTGGTCAGCTCCTCGAGTTTCTGCTTGTACAGCCTGTGGTTGTCCTGGGAAGGAGAGAGAGACCAGCACACGTTAGAGCTGCCAGCCCAGACACTCCTGTCCTTGGGCCCTCTATGAAAAATGTCCTTAATTTCACCTGTGCAGCTGCTGGGTGAGAGGAGGGGTGGCTGCAGAAGGCCAGGTGTGTTTGGGGACAGCCAGCCCTGCTTCCATGGGGATGGAAGCCAGCCCCACTCCCAAGCAGGACATGCACAGGATGTTCCCGTGCTTGGGACACCAATAACTGCTCACAGCAGATAGGAAAGACTTGGGAATAAACCCTGAGTGGGCCAGGCTACAGCTGTGGTACCACAGGGGCGTTGGGTGCTGGGACAGGATGAGCAGCTCTTTGTGCCTCAGCTCTCCCAGCTGGTGGCTTTGGGGCTCTGCCTGAGCTCCCCTGGGAAGCTGGAAGGAGCCTGTCCATGAGCTGGACAAAGGAAGGGCTCTTAGCAGGGCTGCAGCCAATGCCCTGTAACCCAACCACACCTGGATAAGGCTGGCTGCATTTCTCCACTATTTTTAGCAGGGAAAGGGGAGAGCTGCTGGATCAATGGTGCTGCTGCTTGTCCAGGTCAGCAGGAAAACAGCCTCACCTCGGCCACAGCAGCCTGACTGCCACTTCCACACGCTGCTCACTCCAACCCTTGGACTAGACCTTGGCACAAACAAATTCTAACCTCTGTAGCTCTTATCAACCACTCGATCACCAGATCTTAAAAGTTGTTCCCAAAGGAGAAAGGTGAAACCAAGAGCAGAGGAGAGAACCCTTCTCCCTCTGGTGACAAGCAGCGGCAAGGAGGGAACAGATCCCAGATAGTCCCGGTTCCACAGCAGTGATTTATGTCCCTGATTTATCCGAGGACATTCCCTGCTTGACCATCGAGCTTTCCTGCTGCCACCTAGAGTCACCTCCCTCTGGCTCTGGAGTTAACCGTGAGCAAGTGGCTTTTGTGACAAGTCCTTTGGCCGTGCCAGCATCGGGGACAGCCCGGGTGAGGAGTGACCCAGGGAGGAAGGAGGTGTCCCAAGGGAAGGGCCGGCGCTGAGCGGCTGCACTCAGGGCTCGGAGTGGGCGACCCGGGACATCCACGCAACCCCTATGGAGCAAGAGGAGGTTTCTCAAAGCCTCCCTTGCCCCAGATCTGGGCAACAACATCCGCTTCACCCCGCTCTCGGGGGGGAAGGAGGGGGAAAGGGAACGGCTGCAGCTGCAGCCCAGTGACCCGAGCGGCAGCAGGAGATGGTTGGCCAACCTTTCCCTGGGGTGACCCTGTGCGAGCTGAACCCTGCCCACTCCTTCTCCGGCAGGCAGCGCCCTGGGGATTACACAAAGCAGGTGGAAGCACCTCTGACACCGGTCACCTTCGTGGCACGGAGCGGTGACAGGGCACGGCGCTGGGGACACGGCTGAAGCCGGGCTGAAGCGTGCCTGCGTTCCGGGAGCGCCGGGCTCCGCCGGCCGCTGTCCCCGCGGGGCTGCCCGGCTCCGGGCTGCCCCGAGAGCAGCGATAAGGGCTGAAACAGCATCTGCGCACCTCGTCCGGCCGTGCCACGCCGGGCACCGCCGCTCCCCGCTCCCAGCAGCCAAACCGGCAGATCTGAGCTCTCCACGCCACGTCCGCGGCGGGCTGGGGCACCGGACCGGGGCAGCCCCGCTGTTCCCGAGCCCCGGCACAGCCCGGCACAGCCCGGTACAGCCCGGCACCCCTGCCCTGCTCCCAAACGCTCTGCCCCAAGGCACACGGGGGCTGGGGCACGGGGGCCAGCACCAGGACTGCAGCGGGGACAGCCCGGCTCCCGCCGTGCCCGCTGGGGATGCTGCGGGGCACCCGCGGGGGATCCCCCACCCCCGGTGCCGGTAACCGCGGCGTGCCGCGCTCGGCCGGAGCGCTCCCCGGCCCGTCCCGGGCCCGGTGGTACCTGGATGCGCTGGTAGCCGTCCTGCAGCTCCTCCCACTCGCGCAGGCACTCGGCGAGCGAGGCGCCCCAGGCCATGGCGGCGATGGCGGCGGCGGCGACCGGCCCGGCCCGGCCCGCGGCGACGGGCGGCGCTGGCCACGCCCCCTTCCGGACACGCCCCGGGGCGGGGCGGGGCGGGGCCTCCGTCATTCCGCGCTTCCCTCTAAAGCGGAGCCTGGAAAACCAGAAATTCCCCTGGAAAACCAGAAATTTCCTCTAAAGCGGAGCCTGGAAAACCAGAAATTCCCCTGGAAAACCAGAAATTCCCTCTAAATCAGAGCCTGGAGAACGAGAAATTCCCTCTAGAGCAGAGCCTGGAAAACCAGAAATTCCCTCTGAATCAGAACCTGGAAAACCAGAAATTCCCCTGGAAAACCAGAAATACCCTCTGAATCAGAACCTGGAAAACCAGAAATTCCCCTGGAAAACCAGAAATTCCCTCTGAATCGGAGCCTGGAAAACCAGAAATTCCCTCTAAACCGGAGCCTGGAAAACCAGAGATTCCCTCTAAAGCTCAGCCTGGAAAACCAGAAATTCCCTCGAATGGCAGCCCTTGGTGCCCAGGCTCACTCCCAGCTCTCGGGATGCGCTCCTGGTCCTGGCTGCACATGTCAGGATGAAAAACCCAAACCCACCACTAAATCCCAAACACAGAGTGCTGCTCACTGCTGGTTTTTCTGTCGTGTTTTATTTTGTGATTCAAAGAACAGAATTCAGAGTAAGAGAAAGGATGGACTGATTTGGGTACTGGTTGAGGTTGCATGTGACAGCGCTGAGGGTTCAAAGTCACCACCTCTGCCCAGGGGTTTGGCTGTAGGCTTAGAAGGCAGCAAATGGGAAGGGTGGATTGTCACCAATCCAGCCAGCCAGGCTGAGGGGGCTGAGAAGGTACTTACAGGGCACAGGGACTTCTGAAACAGGGAAATTCTGTTGTCACCTCTCCAAACTGGAAGTGGGCACTGTCAGACTCTAAATTTCCTATTCCAGACCATGGCTAACAAACCCTTACAGTGATAACCCTACTGACTGCCCCTCAGCTGTGGTTATAATCCCCTTTGCTTACAAAAGAGTCGAGCTGTGTCTAATGGGCCTGCAGGACTTGCATTCCCCAAACTTCCACCTCCTCCAGCACAGCTGAGTTCCCCAGGAAGCTCCAGATCTTGACCCAAAATGAACATGGAGCTAGAGGAAAGCTTTTCCATTACATTTGGGACTTTTTTCACACAGCTTTCAAGTAACTTTGTCCTCAGAGAGGGGAAGGGAAGTGGCTTTGCTCTCGGGTGTTCTCTGTCAGTAATTTGGCTCAGACACGTCTGTGACTGGGTACCCATAGATTTGGGTCTCCCAGGCTGAGAGCTGCTCCACAAAGCCCCGGTTTGGTCTCATGTTCATTTTGCATTTCAGAAGGTATTTCCAAGCTCTCTGTAAACAGAAGGAAAGTAAAGAAGTGTTAGGAGTTGAACAAAAAGTGACTCTTGGGCATTTTCACAAAGCAGCTACACTTCAGTCAACACAGCTTTGTATTTGCTGCCTGTGCTGGACAGCAAGAACCTGCAGAGAGAAGTTTGGCATCAAAGTGGGGACAGGCTGGATCCAGATGTGACCCTGAGAGAAACCTGTCCCCTTTCATGCTCTGCTCTCCTGGATATGAGGACAGCTCAGGCTGTTTTCACTACTGATGTTATTCTACTCCGCTGGAGTGATGCAATCCTGGATTTTCCACTCTAAAATGCTGCTCCTTCCACAGGTGATGAGCAAAGCAGTGAAGTATCAGCCATAAAGGTTATAAAGCAATGGAGGTTATCACATTTTTGGATTGGTGTGACCTGATGTGGCAGAGCAGTTATGACTTTGCAGTTGTCCCACTGTATTAATTACAGCCATCTTAATTATTTGTTAGCTCCAAGTAATCACCTAGAAACTCTGACACACACAGGGCAGATCCCCCAGCATTACTTCAGCTCCATCCCTGGGTTTTCCTGTCAGTGCTCATCTTCCTGCTCATAAAAGAGTTTGACCCCTGCACTTGGAGGGTTGCTTAAGGGAAATGAGACCAAAGGTCAGCAGATAGTGCTCCATTGGTTTGTTTTTCTAATCTTGCTGATTCTGCAGGCTCTGAGGCTGATATTCCAATATTTACTCCTCTGGGTTCACAGTGTGGGTGTCTCTGGTTCCCCTGGACTCAATGGATTTACTCACATATTGCTCACTAATGGAATCAGGGGCTGCACATCCCAATTCTGCCTTGTTTTTGCCTTTTTGGAAGCTTTCAAAGATCTTTGCCTGGATTGGCTGGAGGATCACACAGAAATCTTTGCACTGCTTTTGTCTGCAAGAAACAAACTTGGCTGCCAGGGTAATCCCTCAGGAAAGCTTTGCCCAGCCAACAGTGGGCAAGCACTGCCCTGTCAATATTTTCTTTCTTTTTTTTTTTTTTTTTTGGCATTTAGTTAAATGCTGAGACCAACCTGTTGATGCCAACTGAGGGGAATGGCAAGGCTCAGGCTTTGACTTTTGCACTGCCATTGGAAGCCCATTCTGTGATTCAGTGAGTGAGTGGCTGTTATCAGCCTGCAGGAGCAATCACATCCCTGTTAGAGCAGGGCCTGAACCCTGTCTGAGCCCTGCTGGCACCCTCAGCCTCTAATTACCCACTGGCACACAGCCATGGAAAGAGCTTTCCTCTTACATTGGACATGTTTGCACAAAATCAATCACCTTATCAGATACAGACCCAGCTTCAGTGAAGTTTGGATCAATCCCTTCTAGCTCCTGCATTTTCCAAACAAGGGGGAGGTTTTCAAGGAGAGGCTGGTCAGTTGCCATGGGAACTCTCCTGCTCCCTGTCGGGAGCCACCAGGAGATGCTGCAAAGGGAGGAAGGCCTGGCACCAGGGGAGAGGCCACCAGGCTCTTGCACAGCCAGGCCATCCCCAGCCATCCTTCATTCATTTCTTTCCTCGTTCAGAGCTATGGAACAGCCTGTGCTGGACATCTGACCTGCACATCCCCTCTGGGCAGCTGTTATCCCATTGCAGATTTCTATACAGGGGTGTCTGTGGGAGGGGATTGCTTCTGGAGGAGTAAGAAAGGATTTTGGAAGGTGGCAGTACTGAAGTCAATGGTGAATGAGAGCCCTGCAAACGTTGTGTTCTGAACTTCTCTAACACCATGGAATTAGAGATAGGATTAACTGCAGTAGCTTCCACTCTTTCCCTCAAATCCAGGAGATAAGTACCATGTTCTGTATCCACAGCTTTGCTTTTCTAGCCCTTTAGTTAAGTAGGAAAACCAAAAATATCTCAAGTTCTAGAGGAAGGACTCAAAGATCCAAAATCACACCTAATCCACCTCCTTAATGGTCTAAAGAAGATGCAATCTCAAACCATAATCAGTTCCATCATCAGGTGGGTATTGTGCATGAGTGCTGGGGTTTCAGGAGGAGCAGGGGAGTGCAGAGGCAGCGGTGTGGCACTGTGACAGGGACGTACCTGCAGGGAGAAGCGGCAGGAGTGCATCAGATAGGCCATGGTGGCCGTGCTGCTCCGGCTGATCCCCAGGCTGGAGAGCACCAGCACTGCTCCCTCATCCAGCTGAGCATCTGAGCCAAGAAATGCCAGTCACAAATTAGTGAGCTGGGAAACAGAGCCCCCCGTGGCACTCATTTGGTGACAGCTGACAGGGGGGCTGCATTCTTAGAGACAGGAGCCCTCAGGAGCCCTGACAGCAGCAGATGGGCACTGCCAGCTCCCGTTTCTGTAAGCGTTTGCCTTTCTTAAAAATCCCCAGTTAAAACGTGGCCTTGAAGAGCAGCAGCAATGACAATGACCAGTCAATGCTTCATTACACATCAGTGTCACCCTCACATCAGGGATCTGAGGAGATGTGGTCTTTCATGACCTACCAGCTGTGGTCGGCATCACAAACTCTCCCCAGACAGGTCTAAATGTACTGAAATTTTATTTTGCCTGGAAGGTTGCATATTTAATTAATAACTTTTTAATTCTTTCTCTCCCTCTCTAGACAGAATGATGTTTTTAAAATATTGGCAACTGAACTCCAGAATTCATAGAGCAAAACCTTTTCTTTTAGTGCTGTCAAGATGTTTTGTTTGGTTGGTTTTTTTCCCAAGCACTAAATCAGCATTTTTAAACTAATTTCTATTGTGAGATACTACTTCTATCTGGGTAGAACTGGCCTCACTCCAACATAGACCTGGCATGAGGACATTCACACTCCTCTTGGAGTATGTGGAGAGCTTTAGTCTCGTGTTCTGGTTTGAGTAATCTGCTCTCCACTGCCAAACAAACAGTTCCACTATCAGGTAAACAGTGGAACACTTCCACAAGTGCAGCTAATAGGCTCTTGTAGTCTGGTTTGGAAACAGCCACAAATCATGTGTAATGTCAGAAGGAAACTTCTGAAATACTACAGAGGCACAATGAAAGGCAAGTAAGTGAATGTCAACATTCAGGTGCACCAAATAATGAAATTCAGTTCAGAACTACAAAATTATATCCAACAACAAATGTTGTTTCTTTGTGTGCAGTTGTCATGTCTGATATTGTACTTGGGTTAAGCTCTGTGGGCACAGGGTGGTCTTTTGCTTCTGGCTCTGTCCAGCACAGCTCAGCAGGGCCTGGGTCTGTGGCAGATGTTGTTTGATAAGCACAATAAAAGATAACAACATGGTTGGACAGCATCAGGATGGAGCTGCAGGAGCCTGAGCTGCAGGCACTGAGCTGCAGTTTTTTCTTGTCCTATCTGATGTAATCAGCTGAAGGCAGGTCCATGCTGTCCAACCTGAAGGTCCTGGGCCCTACAGTGGGTCTGCACTGCAAATCACAAAGATTATCAATGCCTCATGCTGAGCTCTCTAATGTGTGTCACACTCTGCTTCAAATAAAGCTCTGGTGGCTGAAGATTTGGGCTGGTGAGAGTCAGAGGAGTAAGAGGGAATCCTCTGAAGCTCTGGTAGATTCCCAGCTGCAAAGATCTGGATGGAAAGCTCCCTGTTATCAGAGTGAGGTATCCTTTAGGGTGAGCAGGGACATCAGAGTCAGATGCTCTGTAAAATCTCCTCTCTGTCCATCAGGCTGGTTAGTGAGGCAGCTCTGGTATCCATCAGGGTGTGGGTGTGCTTACCCTCCTACCTGGG